GGGACGAGGAGGCCCGCAGGGCGACGGATTCTGACTTGCGGGCGCCGCGGGGGTGGGAGGCCGTGCTCGTCCCCGGCGGCTCTGGGCGCGCTCCGTGCGTACACGTGTCCCCGCGAGGGAGGGGGCTGGGGCCCCAAGGAGCAAAGGCCAGGCCGGCCGAGGGGTGCACACGTGGGAGCCCGCCGGACGTGCGTGGGCACGTGCGTGGCTGGAGGCGCCTGGCGGCGGGGGAGGGACGGAGCGAGGCCGGCTGAGGCTCCATCCGGGTCCCCGTCCAGTGGGCGGGGGCCCTAAGCCTTCTCATAGTGAAGCCAGCGGCCCCTAGCTGGCGCCTCCTTTGTTCCCGACCTTGGTGCCGCGCAGCCGGAGACCCCTTGTGGCCGCCTCCAGCGGGCAGAACCGAAAGCGCCTCCCAAGAAGAGGGGCCTAGGGCGATGGAGTGGAGACCTGGCGCCCGGGCCCGGCCCAGGCTCTTGGTCTCATCCCCGTGGCCTGCCTTCTGTGGGGGACTCTCCCGCTGGGACCGAGAGACGCAGCCCCGTTTTGTGGGTGTTCTGCCCATGGACGCTCGGGCTCTCTCCACCTGGCTGCAGTCTCAGTTTACCTGCGGGCGATGAGCCCTGAGTCAAGCCCCAGTTCTTAGCCTGTGGGGGGGGGGGGGTCACAGGTTTCCATGGCAACATCTGGGCGCAGGGTCCAGGCCGGGTAGCTGTCTCAGGAGTAGGGGTAGGAAGCAGGGAAGAGGACAGAAAGCCGGGTCCAGAGTTCACAGTTAGCCCCGCCCTCTCCCTCCCAGGCAGAGTCCCTTGCTGTCAGTCGTCACCCCCAAGCCCCACCTGCAGTGTTGGGGCTCCAGGCCAGCAGCTCCCCTGCCCACCCTAGGCATCCTGCTCTACTCCTGGGGCCCTTGCATCCAGGTGTCCTCCCTCACCCCAGAAGAATGTAGGATCCCAAGGAAGGAAAGCACCCCGCTCAGGGAGGCTGGGGAAGCTACAGACCCTGCCTAAGGCTCCAGGGAGACCTGGCTGTGGCGCGTGTGGGGCGGGGCCCTGGCTGCAGTTCAAAGGTCGGGCCCTGGGCCCACATTGCTGGCAGCGCAGGTGTACGACACGCGGGGGTGGGGGCGGCTGTGTGAGGCACGAGCAGCTCAGGGCGCAGAAGGCTCTGGGAGTTACTGCCCCCTTTGGACCCCTGGTGAGCGACGGCTGTGGGCAGTGGGCAGTGACCTGAGGGAGACCAGCCAGCCCTCCAGCTCCCGCACACGTGTTCCCACGGGGAGGCTGGAGCCCTAAGGAGGGAAGGTTTTCCTGCAGTGCGCCCCCCCGTACACTCACAGGCCCCATAAACACAGGGTACCGGACCCGGGGTGCCTCATCCTTGGGGCCCTGGACGGACCCAGATTAGGAAAAGGTTTTGGGGCTGAGGACAGAGTCCACCCGTGGCCGGGCCCCTGCAGGCACTGGCCTGGCTGGCTCGGTCAGCTTGGCTCCGACCCGGTGGGCAGAGGAGAGGGGTCCCCGAGGCTGCGTCCTGCCCGCAGGTGCTCTCACTCCCCCCGGAGCCCTGGCCCCCCCCCGAAGTGAAACAGAAAGTCCTCCCCCGCCCCGCCCCGCCCCGCCCCGCGGCCAATCGCGGCGGCCCCGTGTCCCCCTCCGTGCTCGGGGCTTATCTCCTGCTCAGAGCCCGAGGGCTGGAGCCGGCAAGCCGAGCTGAGCGGTGAGCCGTGAGCGGTGAGCCTCGAGCCGTGAGCCCTGAGCGGCGGGCGGGGGCGGCTGCGGAGGAGGGACTGCCCGCGCCCAGCGCTGCAGGGAAGCCCAGGTGAAGGTCACAAGCCTCGGCGCAGGCCGGGTGACAGCTGACCCGCCGGGTCTACAGGGGCCGGTGGGAGCCACCCTAAGCCAGGCTGCAGCCGCCCTGTGGGGGGCACCTGGGCTGGGCTGGGCTCCAGCTCTTCCTGGTGGGAGAGCTCTTCTCGCCTACCCTCAGAGCCTTGGGGCTCCTGACCACCGGGTCTAAGCTCAGCCAGTCCTCTGTGGCTGGTTCCTGTCTGTCTGTCTGGAGGGAAGCGCCTGAGGGAGGAGGGGTGGACCTGGGCTAGGTGTCTGTGGGTGGGGGTGCGTCTTCATGGCGAGGGGGTACTTGGGATCCAGAAGGGGTGCTGTCCGGGGAGTGTGAGCTGTGCCCTGAGGTGGCCGTGCCCCTTTGGGGCATCAAGAGGGAACCAGTGAGGAGACCCCGAGCCCCAGCTCTGAAGGGAGCAGGTGCCCTCCACCTGTCTCCTCAGGGATGTGGGGGTGGTCCAGGCCCCCAGCTAGCAAGCAGACATCTGCTTCTTCCCGGTGCCTGTCCCTTTAAAAGCCAGAGCTCCGGTGCGCATGAGTGAGTCGTGATGTCCGCCTGTGATGGGGGGGGGGCTCGAGGTGAAAGCCGGCACCCAAGGCAGGACGCACCCAGGACTGCTTATGGCTTATGGCTCCAGGCCAGGGGTGGGCTGGGGTGGGAGCAGGGCGGCTTGTCCCCTCCGTCATCTGCCCACCCTGCTGACTCTACTGCTGCCTCTCCAGGACTGAGGTGTGGCTGACGCCTTGACAGCACCAGAGCAGGTGGACAGCCTGTCCCGCTGGTCCTCTGCCACCTCCTCAGCCTCCACCCTCAGCATCCAGTCTCCACCTCCTGCCTGGGTGCGCGCTCCACTTAAATGGCCGAGGAGAAGCCCATCAGGTCAGTGCCCTGCCCTGGAGCTGCCTGGCCACGCCCCCTCTCTCCCAGCCCTGCCCTGCCGACCCCTGACCCCACTTGCTTTTCCACGCAGTCTGCCAGCCAAGCTCATCAATGGCGGCATCGCTGGGCTGATTGGGGTCACCTGCGTGTTCCCCATCGACCTGGCCAAGACGAGGCTGCAGAACCAGCAGAATGGCCAGCGCATGTACAGGAGCATGTGAGTGGGGCGTGGGGATGGGGCCTGGGCAGCAGGGGGGCAGTGCCAGGCACACAGCCCCCCACACTCCTCCCTTGTGCTGGCCACCCGGGCGGGGCAGGCGGGGTGGTCACGGCTTGGTTTGGGACAGGATCTGCTGTCAGGCCAGGCTAGCTTTGGTCAGGGCAGGGATTGATTGGCCTGTGGCGGTGGCTCAACTCGGCCCCCTCCCCTTGACCACAGGTCGGACTGCCTCATCAAGACCATCCGGTCCGAGGGTTACTTCGGCATGTACCGTGGTGAGCGTCTCCGGGGGCTGGCTGCTGGGTGCAGTAGAGCCCTGGAGGGCAGGAAGGGCAGGGTGTCTGGGCACCACCTGGGCGGCACCTGGGGCAGCAGGATGCTCTGCAGGTGGCAGGTGGTGCTGCATCTCCACTGAGGCGGCTGCAGCCCCCCTCACTCCTACCCAGGGGCCTGTTGGGGTGTGTGGATTCAGGGGAAGGGAGGCATTACTGCAAAGCAGCTTAGGAGACAATCTGGATCTGCCTTTACTTCAGCTGCTTGGGCCCTCAGCACTGAGGGGGCTTCACCTCCCCTAGGGGCTGTGATCTGCACTCTCTATTTGGGGGAGGCCCCTGTGGGCTCCGGGGGTCTGGTCCCCACAGCCCCATTAGCACCGGCTGGAATCGGGCCAATGGAGGCTGGAATGGAAGGGTCGTGCAGCGATGTGAACAGAGGGTGGGAGGAGGCAGGTGCTGCCCCATCCCTGTCCTGGTGCCCGCCCCTGCCTGGCACACACCAGGCCCATATGTGGGTGAGAGGGCAGGAAGAGGTGCCAAAGAGTAGCAGGGCCAGGCTTGGCCAACCCCAAAGCAAGCACAGCGTGGGGCCTCCCCCCAAGCCAGTGTGCCCCAGGACTTGTCGCCCCTACCCCCACTCAGCCCCACCTGACCCCATGTGCCCACAGGAGCTGCCGTGAACCTAACGCTCGTCACCCCAGAGAAGGCTATCAAGCTGGCAGCCAATGACTTCTTCCGTTACCAGCTCTCCAAGGATGGGTGAGGGGCTGGGCTGCAGGGGCCAAGGTCACATGGCAGACCCCCATGTGGGCCTTCAGCTCCCACATAGCTGTGCATGGAAGGGCAGCTTGGCTTTGTAAGCCAACCCCCACCGCAAGGCTCCCAGGACATCCTTGACCTGGGGACATACTCCCCTTCTGTACCCCGCCCCGTGCATGGGAGGGTCAGCTGTGCTCAGCCTTCACCTGCTGCCCATGCAAGCCAGAATTTGGGAGGCACAGGCCAGCCCCAATGGGCTTCCCTTCTCAGCGTACTTGAGACCCCCAGCTTTCTGCGTGAGGACGGCCCCCTGGCCCTGCCCAGGTCCTTCCTGGAGGACCATCTGTGTCAGTGGCTCTGTGCTTGGGGCTGGAGGCTGTGTCACCCCCACCGTTCTGCCCACTTTGGGTCCGGGTGCAGCGGCAGGCAGTGTCTGACCCTCGCAGACAGCACGGTTCTCCCCACGCAGCCCTGACCCTCCTCTGCCCTACTGCAGGGAGAAGCTGACGCTGCTGAAGGAGATGCTGGCTGGCTGTGGGGCGGGCACCTGCCAGGTGATTGTGACGACCCCCATGGAGATGCTGAAGATTCAGCTGCAAGATGCTGGCCGCATAGGTGGGGGCTGAAGAGACTGGGCTAGGGGCAATGGCCTGGACCTCCCTGCCCCCTTGCCCCTGAGAAGAGTCAGCAAGCCCATCCTCTCCCTCCCCAGCGGCCCAGAGGAAGATCCTGGCCACCCAGGCCCAGCTCCCGGCCCACGGTGGGGCCCAGCCCATGGCGGAGGCTCCTGTAGCTCCCCGGCCCACTGCCACCCAGCTGACTCGGGACCTGCTCCGGACCCGAGGCATCGCCGGCCTCTACAAGGGACTGGGGGCCACGCTGCTCAGGTGGGGAGGCTGGGGCAGGCAGGAAGGGAGGCCCTGTGCCACCTATGGCATCCTCTGTCATCACCGCTGCCCCCTCCTCACACAGGGACGTCCCTTTCTCCATTGTGTATTTCCCACTCTTCGCCAACCTGAACCAGCTGGGCCAGCCATCGTCCGGGGAGAAGGCCCCATTCTATGTGTCCTTCCTGGCTGGGTGTGTGGCTGGGAGTACAGCCGCTGTGGCCGTCAATCCCTTTGACGGTCAGTGCTTGGGCCCGGGCTCCTGGGTGTGTTGGGCGCCGAGGAGGTGGCTCCAGGGTAGGTGTGGGGGGGCCTCCCACCCTGACCCTCCACCCCCACAGTGGTGAAGACACGCCTCCAGTCCCTTCAGCGTGGGGCCAACGAGGACACCTATTCGGGGTTCCTGGACTGTGCCAGGTGGGCAAGACCCCCCAGGGTGGGTGGGGGCGGAGCAAGGGTGATGAAGAGGGGCTGGGGAGGAAGGGCCACCCCCTGACCTGACCCGTCCCCCACAGGAAGATCCTGCAGCACGAGGGTCCCTCGGCCTTCCTGAAGGGTGCCTACTGCCGCGCCCTGGTCATCGCCCCGCTGTTCGGCATTGCCCAGGTGGTCTACTTTCTGGGCATCGCTGAGTCCCTGCTGGGGCTGCTGCAGGGGCCCCAGGCCTGAGCAGAGGAGGGCGCCCTGCACCGCGGGGGTCAAAGAAGGGCACAGGGTCCATAGGTGCACGTGTGGGCCTTCTCAGAGTCCTGCCTGCATAGCCACGGGATCAACGTCTTATTTACGTAGAAAATGCGGAAACCTGTACATTCCTGGAGCCGACTCCTCGCCTGGCCTGAGCAGCCCCAGGGCAGAGCTGGTCTCTGGGCTGGGGCCCTGGGCCTGGACCAGGCATCTGGACCCTACCCCCACCCACCTGGCTCCGGGTCCGAGCTTGGCCCCTGGCCCACGAGGGGGCCCTGCACAAACCTATTTATTGTGTCTGCTGAGCCCAATCCAGCCCTCCATCCATCCTTCAGTCTGTCCTCTCCCTGCTGTTGCTCTTACCTGCAGGACCCAGGACTCTGTCCCCTGCAGTTTTGCAGGAGGTTTGGGGTCTCCTGTTCGCAGTGTGCATCCAGGAATCCAGGAGGGTCACCCTGAGTTCTGACTCCCAGGCAGGCCCTGCTTCCCGTCCACTGTGGGACCCAGACCCTTGGGGTGGGCCCGTCGACCCCCTCCCGGCTGAGGCCTTGAGCAGATGAGGTCTCTGTGTGTGTGTGTGTGTGTGTGTGCGCGCGCGCGTGCGTGCACTGTGGCATCCAGTCACACCACCTGGCCCAGCTCCTGGCGGGGAGAGGTTGGCTGATGCTCTGCCATATGGAGGGCAGCGTGTGTGTGTCCCAGGCTCTGGCAGGTGGGGTGTGTGTGTGTGTGTGTGTGCGCGTGTGCACGTGTGCATGCACATGTCTGTGTCTCAGTCCTTCTGCTGACCGTCCAGGGATTTACTCCCCAAGCCTGGGCCCTCTGGCCACACCTTGGACAGACCCCTCCTCTGAGACCCCCCCCCCACCCCAGGTGTGGCTCCCATGGGGGATGGGGCAGGCCTGAGGACCACTGCAGCGCCTGGGCTCCTGCTGTGTTTGCAGGGTTGGGGGTGCCAGGAACTGCCCCCTCAGTCCCCCAAGGGCCAAGCCTCATCTCTGGGGCTCTGCACAGGCCTATGACCACACTCCAGAGAGCTCCGCCCCCAGCCCCTCGTCCTGTTGGTGTTCTGAACTGAGGCCCTGCCCCCTCGCCCCCCCCACCCCGAGTGCTCGTGTTGGTGACTGATCTGTGCGGTGGTGCTGTGCCCCTCCAGCCCCTAGTGGGCCCTTCCCCAGCGACACTACCTGGGGCTCAGGTCTGGGCCCCCCAGTTCACGGTTGTTCCTGGGAGACCCCTCCCATCACTTGTACCTTGGAAGCTGCTGCTTACAGAATTCTATTTTTTCTTTTGAAGAGTTTTAAGAAGTAACTTTTTGTGTCTTGTCATGTAAAAGGATCAATAAATATCCTAAGTAAATATTTTCTTTCTGGGGCTCTGTTTGGAGTGAGACTGAGAGAGGGCATCCCCTCTTATAGATGCTTCCCCCAGGCCCAGCCCCCTGGGCCCGCAGTCTGCCCTGAACAGTCCTGTTCCCTGCCACGAACGAGTGTGGGCTGGGCTGCCTCAGGCAGTCTTTTGGCCCGGAAACCCCACTTGGCACCAAAAGCTGGGTTTGGAAGTGGCTAATGGTAACGGTGGAGCAGGTGATGAACACAGTGTGCACCCTTGAACTGTACCTGTGGAGACTACACAAATGGCAAATGGCTGTCACCTGTATGCTTCCAACAAAACAAAGGCTGGGTGGGAGCACCCGGAGTCCCAGCCAGTCGCATTGCCTTGCTGAGTGGGTGGAGCCAGCAGATCCCAGGCCCCATTTGCTGACTGCCACCCTTCCCCCGCTGGTCCTCCTTCCTGCGACCTGCAGCAGTGCATTGTGGGAAACTCCCAAGTTCTCCTCTGGCGTCTGCAGCCGCCACCCGCTTGCTGTGAGCTAGGAGAGCACCCGCAGCTTGAGGCAGGAGCCAGCAGGAGGACCACGTAAGGCCCGGGGGGGGGGCGTCTGCAGCCAGCTGGGCCTGGGGCCCTGGGGCCCTGGGGTGGGGTTCCCACCGTGCCTGGGCCTAGGGGGGTGGGCATGAAGCAGCAGCACCCCGCCTTGAAGGTCACTGGGGTTGTTTGCACCAGGCCCCTTCCTTTCCCACCATGAGATGGGTCGCTTGGGGGTGGGGGAGGGGGTATGCAGGTGACATCAGTGTGAGCCTAAAACAGTTAGGGGGTCTGGGGGAGGGGATGGAGCAGACCACTGGCCCTCTGCAGAGTTGGTCCTTTGTGGGCAGCTGGGGCTCCTGGGGACACAAGACAGCAGTGGGGTCTCTTAACCTGGACACCCCTCTCCCACTCTGACCTTCAGGTGACCTTCAGTGTGGTCGGCTCGCCTGGCCTGGGGTGGGAGAACCTGGGCTGCAGCCCCACACTGCCTCCCTCTCCCTGTGGGTGGGGGAGTTTCTAATCCTCCCCAGAGAAGCAACCAGGTCTTCAGGGAGAGACCCACCCAGGTCCAGGGTGTCACCTCCAGTCCCTCCTCCCCCCACTCCCAGGACCGTGAGAATGCAGGCAAGGCCCTTCCTCTAGTCCAGAGCCCCCACCCTCCACCCTGACCAGCAGACTTGGGGGTGCTCGTGCTGACACCAGGGTGCCCACTCCAAGTTTGCATTGGGGCCACTTTGGCCCCAGGGCAAGTGCAGCCTCAAGCCTGAAGCTGGGAGGCAGAGGAGGCTGGTTTGGGGAAGTGGGTACCACAGTTGGGGGGGACAGGCATCCAGTGGGGACCCAGGGACCCCTGCACTCCAGCCCAGAATTCCAGCCTCTGGGGAAATGGCCTGAACCCTTCAAGGCTTCTGGCAGCCACTCCCACTGGCCTGGCCTACTGGCTGAGGGCCCAGGCCCTCACTCACCCAGACACAGGCCCCAGCCTCTGAGTGGCCCGAGTGGCCCCGGTGGCTGGGCCCTGCCTCCAGTTCTCTGCCTTCCCAACAAGGCCTCCCTGCACTGTGGGTTCAGCTATGTCTGAGTGCATGCGTGTGTGTACATGTCTACTCCCTACAGGTTAGCAAATTAATCCTCTGTCTGCCTTCAGTCAGAACCGGCCACGCGGCCCCTCCAGAAGCTGTTGCATGGACAGAGTCTGAGGCCCAAAGCCAGGCTCGCCCTAGGAGGGTTGGAAGATTGGGGCGGGTCTCTGTGGAAATCAGAGGGTGGGGACTGGGCAGGAGACGCTAGGTTCCTTGCCTCAGCCTCCCTTGTCCCCCAGGCCCCATATAATGCCCAAGGGTGAGCTGTCCTGAGCTCCTGAGTCCGACCACCTGCCTCCTGCCTGTCAGAGCGCCACTCCCAGCCCACCAGCACTGTGCACCATGGAGTCCAGAGGAAAGTCAGCCAGCAGCCCCAAGCCTGACAGCAAGGCACCCCAGACCCCCGCTGAGCCCAAAGGCCCCCCAGCTGCTGATGGAAAAGCACCCGGGGCCACGTCAGCCAAGGCCGGGAAGAAGGAGGCCCCAGCAGAAAAGCAGGAGCAGCCAGCGGCCCCCACCCCAGCACCTGCCAAGAAGACCCCGGCCAAGGCAGACCCCGCCCTTCTCAACAACCATAGCAACCTGAAGCCAGCCCCTGCAGCCCCTGCAGCCCCCAGCCGCCCTGACGCAAGCCCCGAGCCCAAGGGTCCTGGGGACGGTGCCGAGGAGGACGAGGCCAGCAGCATGGGCCCAGGCGGCCGAGGTCCCTGCCCCTTGGAGAACTTGACCCCTCTGCTCGTGGCTGGGGGTGTGGCTGTGGCAGCCGTGGCCCTGGTCCTTGGTGTGGCTTTCCTGGCCCGGAGAAAATGATGGTCGGTGCACAGGTGGGGCCTGGAGCCCCTTCCTGGGCAAACTGGGAGGCCAGTGCATGCACAGTGGTACACAGGTATCCACACGTGTGTACGAGCACACACACACATATATATATCCATCCACCCCACAGACGCACCCCAGAGAGACCTGCAGGCCACAAAGAGCCTGGCTCGGGGCTCCCATGGCAGGCGGGGTGAGCCCCGACATTGGAGAGGGCTACAGGAGGAGGAAGGAACAGGCCCTGTGTGTGGCTACCTGGCTGGTGCTCGGTACACCCAGCCTGGCAGTGAGAGGTCGGTCCTGTGGGCGGCCTGATGCCACTGCGGCCAGAGCTTCTGAGGCCAGTCCTCTGGCGTGGCCGTTGGCACCTGGCTCTGCTCTGGCTCTGCAGCGGCGTCTCATCCTCCCTCACCACCTCCCGGGTGGGCAGGAAGATGGGGCTCTGAGGCTGGTGTGGGAGGGGCCCCTGCAGCTTGCCTTCTTCAGCCCTGGGGGGCCCAAGGCTGGAGCCCCCTCCTCATCCCTCTGCAGTTTTCCTGGGGGCAGAGGCCACCCCTCCCCCCGGCCCCAGAGCCCCGCGAGCTTAAACAAGCGTATAAATGCAATAACACAGGTAGACTAGCTCGGTGGAGGCCTCCACCACGTCCGTTGCCCGTCGCCGCCAGGAGGCCTGCCTGCAAATCTGGTCCAGCTCTGACCCACTGGTGGTGGCTGAGAGGGCTCTCAGACAGTGTAATGGGCACCGGGCCAGCTGGCCGTGGGGACCCCGAGGTTGCGTGGAGGCTGACCCTGAAATAAACTATATTGTCTGACGGCCTGGCTAGCGTCCTCACTAGCACGGGCCGCAGGGGCAAGGGCAGGGACTTCACACCTGGGATGGGGGCACGGATCCACATCTGGGCCTTCCAGGGCGGGTGGGAGCCCTGGGTCCCTTCACTGGCTATGCCCCTGGTGTCTTTCCCCATGGGCCGCCAGCCCCACCCAGTGGCCACAGCCGGCTGTGCCCCAGGGTCCCCCAGGCTTTCCTCCCACACCGAGATTTTGAGGCCTCTCTTTTGGGGACTCCCGTACGGTCTGTGTGACCTGGCCTCTTCTCTGTCAGCAGATGGTCAGAGCTACAGCGGTATGTGGCCGTGGCCCACCCTAAACCCACCCCAGCTGCTGTGGTTCTTGCTGCTCTGACACCCAGGCTTCCCCCGCGGCCCCACACCACAACTGGGCCGGCAGGGCCTGCCCACTGCCTGCATCTGACAGCAGGTCCTGCCTGGCTGGATCCCCTCCTTGGCCTTGGGTGAAGTGCGCTCACTGTTGGTGGGTTGCCAGCCTGAGAAGGGGCAGGGCTATCAGTGCTCCAGGCCCCAGTGAGAGGAAGCCTGTCCCTGCAGGAAATAACCATGGGCCAGGCAGCAAGGCAGAGAGCTGGTGATGTCCCTGGCCCCTGGTGACGTCCCTGTTATTGGCCTCAGCCCTGGTGGTGTGAGTCAGCTTGGTTCATTTGCAGCTGGAGCCCAGTGTGGAGTCTGGCCTGCCGCTGTGACGAGGAACCCTTCAGCCAAGAGGGGTGCCTGGAGGTTTGTTGGAGAGGAGGCGTTCAACACGTTTCCTGAGGACCCCAGGTCTGTTCACAGTGCTCAAACCTTCTGGGCAGCCAGGAATTCAACACACAGCTCAGACCCTGCCCCCCACCTGCAAGCTGAGCAGCTTCCTAGGTGTCCTTTGGGACAGGCCAGCCTGGGCCACCGCCCACGTCCCTCACCTCCATAGCCCACGGTTCCCACTCCTGTTACTTGCAGGAGCTGGTTCTCAGCCTCTGAGCAGGGGCACGGATGCCGCTGGTGGAGGCCAGAGGACAGCCACCCCTGCTCTGAGGCCTGACTTCCTCCACTGCCTGTGTACACGGCAGGAACCAGGCCACCATGCTGCACCTCCCAACCACCCAGAATCCCTATGTTTCCCAATTCCAAGTTCTCGTATCCGAGGTCCCCAGGGTGCCCGGGACACTGGACAGGGGCACTAAAGGCCATCCTGTGGAGGCCCCGTTCTCAGGAAAGAGGACTGGCAGACGGAGCCACTGATGCCCGGAGCCTTGAGGGATGGTTAGGAGTTCGATAGGCGGAGAAGGTACCCTGGCACTGCAGGGAGGGGCAGCAAGTGCAGTGGCTACAGCGACAGACTCAGCTGTGCTCCCAGGAGAAGGATTCAGTGCAGACCGGGAGACTAAGGCCCGGGGCAGGCCAGGCTGAGGGCCCAAGGCCGCAGAGCCAGAGGCAAAGGCTGACCCTCCCCAACCCTCTGCAGGGCTGAAAGTCCCCCAGGGCCTCCCACCTCCATCCTTCTCAGAGCTTGACCCTGGTGATCGAGTTCCAGAGACCAGATGTGGACAACACAGCCTTTAAGGGAGAGAGAGATGTGTGTCTGCCACCCACAGCCCTTGTCCCAGGATCCCTGGACAAGGAGGCTCCAGACTCACAGCATTGCCACCTCCCCTGACAGCCCGTGTGCCCAGCAGGCACCTTCCCGGCCCAGCCAGCTCAACCTGCCCCACCTGGCCACGGACCAATACCATTCCTGCAGGGGAAGCCCTAGAGTCCCACAGCTTGGGACCCCTGGGTCCAGCCCAGGCCAGGGTCCTGGGAGAAGGCTCAGTGGACAGGGGGGTGTGGGGTGGGAACAAGCCCTCAAGACACCTCCCATGATGGGCCCTGCAGGGGAGGCCCTGGCCCTGAATCAGTGAGCCCCTCTCTCCCCAGTCTGGGACCCTTCCCAGGACTGGGCCTCTGGCTGCAGGCCAATGTGGTCTCCAGAGCAGCAGCTCCCTACCCATCTTCTTCCACACCAGTCCCCATCAGGTTCAGGTGTGCTCAGTCACCTGGCCTGGACATCACCCCTAAGGCGGGCCTGCCCTCCTACCCTCAGTTAACTGTGGGTAGGATGATGACACAGTGAGTCTGCCCAGGACAGGAAGCCCTGTCAGGTGTCCCTGTTGCAGACTAGCCACTCACGGACCACTGTGTGGGGCCAGGGGGAGTCTGGTCCTGGAACAAATCTGCCCCACCCCTGGCCCCCCTTCAGCACTGGCTGGGGTAGGGTTAGACAAGGCTTCCATCCTAGGTGCTGGACGGGTGAGGTGTGAGGGGCTCCTTGGGGCCCAGATGGTTGGCTGGGGCTGGGGGCATCAGGGAGGGCTGGCCTGGGGCCTCCTGCAGGGTGTGAGACCCCCCAAGCCTGAGCCCAGACATGACTTGTCACAGCAGTCAGGGTGGGGCCTGGGGTTCAAGGGGCTTGCAGTGTCCCGGCCCAGTGCAGTCTATCCAGGAGGTATAGCCCTGCTGGCTTAAGACTCCACCAGGGCCAGGTGCTGGGGCTGTAGGGCTGACCCATCAGAAGGCGGGGTTACCAGGAAGGGGGTGAATGTGACAAGCATGACTGGGCAGCCACAAAGGGCAACTCCATCCAGGGAGGGGCACCCCACCTGAGAACTGAACCCCAGTGACATCCCGCCCTGTACACGGAAGACATGCAGAGGCAGACCCCAGGCAGACTCAAGAGTGGCTCCTGTTCGATGCTGCCCTGGGCCACTGCTGCCCCTTGTCCAGCTGCTGGCCGGACCTGCCCCCACGGTCTGAGCACCTGGACTCCCAAGTGCCATGTGGGGCGTGCACCCTCACAGGCTTTCCTACTCACAGATCTATGCGCAGGAACACACGCCCACCTTTCCTGGACCTGGGTCTGTTCCCGAGTGTTCACAGTACACAGTGCCTGTGAGCACAGACACACATGTACACACTTGTACACATGCATATGCATGCATACACACACGCATACACACACGCACACCACATGTGCATACATACGCACACACTTGTACATGCATGCAATGCACTGATGCACACTTGCATGTGTGCACACACCTGTACATACCTGCACACACATGTGCACATGCACACACTTGTAAACCCACGCATATACACGTACATGTACTGGTGCACACCTACACGCACATGCACACATGCACACAGTTGTACACCCATACATATACACATACACATACTGATGCACACCCGCACACACTTGTGCACATGCATGTTTGTACACACACTGGTACACACCTGTACACGATGCACGCATGCGTGTGCACACACAGCTGCACACCTGCACACACGTGCACACGCACACACGCACACAGACCAGTCCCTGTCCCAGCTTCCTGTCCCTCCACCTCCTTAGATAGGAAGAAAATAAACTCTTATGGAATCCCAGGAGACCGGGTACGAGGACACCGGGCAGCCGTCTGAGAGGTCTGAGAGTTAGGGAGCTGCCCTTGGGGGAGGGGAGGGGAGCAGGGCTGCTGCTGATGGGACAGGTGAGCAGGCACAGCTCTGACACCCAGGGAGGTGAACACGGGGGCTGCCACACACCCAGAGGCGTCCCCATGTGACCGGGCCCAGACTGTGGGTCTGACTCAGGTCTGTGTGTGTCCACACAGACCCCTTCCACCTCTGGGCTCCTGGGCCCTCTCCTGCTGCGCCCCACCTGCCTCTAGGGCCTGCACACTCAGCTCTGCCTGGAGGCTGGAGCGCTGGGCAGGTGAGCTAACTGCCCAGGTGGCAGGGCCTCCACTCTCAGGAGGTGGGGGACAGTGGGACATTTCTCCCATAGACTTGGAGAATTTGGGCACTTGGATGGTTCACAACAACAACAGTTTCCCTGGTCTGAGCAGAAGCTGGCACAACTTCACATAAGCCCTGTGACCAGACTCCTTCCTGCCACGTTCAGTCTTCCATACCTGCCCCTGCCCTGCCAGACCATTGCATACCTGGCCCCGCCATGTTAAAACATTCTATACCTGACTCTTCCATAAGGAATCCTTCCGTATCTGGCCCTTCCCAACCAGGCCATGCCAAGCTCTTCCATACTGGCTGTCCCTCTTGGCATTTGGTCTTGAGTCCCCTCTGTCCTTTCTTTGCAGTCCAGGACATGTACACCCCCAGCCCTTAGCCAAACTGCACCCTCAGTTTTCCTAGCCAAACCCAGCATCCCTGTAGCGTCCCCTTTCAGGGAGTCCTGTACCCTGGACTCCCCTCTCTGTCTCCCCACAACTGTCCTGTTGAGGTGGAATCCTTCCACTCCACCCCCTCCCTGGGACCCCTGGCCCTCTCCCTGGTCTGCAGCTCCCCCCTGTCCCGATAGAGCCCCCAGAGCTGGCACCATCCCACCGAGCCCCAAGGCTCCTGGCCAGTGCTTCCCGCAGCTTGGAGCCACGGGGCCTCCTTAGAGGTCATTTCCGAGTGCAGCCCATGATGCTTAAGCTTGCGCTCCCACCCACCCTCGCCCTTCCTGTGGTCCTTACGCTCTTGGCACCTTCTAAGTGCGGTTTACTTGTCTATGAAGCCTTCTGCCCACCTCCCTCCCAGGGACCCGAGTTTGCCTCTGGGGTTCCTCACGTGTCTGCAGGAGTGCTGTGTGGAGCACCCAGCGGGCTGCCTGCGCAGCCAAACACGAATCGAATCGTTTGGGGCCCAAGTCCACGGGGAGGCACCCTTTCCCTGTGTGAGCACTGGCTGGAAGCGCTTCTTGTCTCAGTTAAAGGAGAGGGAAGGAGCAGGAAAAAGAGACGAACGACTGCCAGTTGCACCTAGGGGCAAGGCCAGGAAGACCCCTCATGCCCTTGCACCGCGGCCCTACGGCCAAGCTCGGGGAAGGCTGATGGCGTCGAAAGGGGCTGGGGACGCGACAGGCCGAATGGCCTCCGACCGGGACTTGGACTCCAGCCTGCTACCCAGGCAAGGAAGGTGCGATGCCCAGGGAGCAGACGGGGCGGGGCCAGAGTCAGGAGGGGAAAAGGAAGAGGGATGCGCATGCGCCCCGCGCCACTCGCAGCCAGGTTCCCAGGCCGCCGCGCCACTAGACCTGGGTCTGCTCAGTCGCGCGCACGCCCTACCACGAACGCTCCGCCGCGCACGCACGCCTCGCCCATCCCGCGCACGCTCCGCCCGCGCACGCCTCGCCACGCACACCCGTGCACGCTCCGCCGGCGCCTGGAGATATGGCGTCTGAGCGGCTCACGAACCGGCCCGCCTGCCTCCTCGTGGCCAGCAGCGCGGCCGAAGGTGAGGCTTGGGCTGCGGGGCCTCGTGGCTGCGGGGGTTAGGGGACTGTGCCGGCTGGAGCCGCGCTGCGCCGGAGGTAGGGGCCCAGACTCGGCCGACGCGTCCCCGGGATCCCGGACTTCCCGAGCCGTTCCCCTGTGCGGGTGTCCTCTCCGGCCCGGGGCTGGTCCTTGGGCTGCACCCGGCTCGTCCCTGCGCGCTTCCGCAGACGGTTTCGGAGGTGCCGTCTCGGAGGTCTGGTCCCGGTGCCGGCGTGGAAGCGGCCCTTGGCGCAGAGAACGCGGGGCAGGGACGGGAAGGCGGCCGCGTGGCCAGGGGCCGAGCCCTGGAGCTCCAGGGGCCGGTACAAAGGCCCTGAGGCAGCGGGCAAGCGCGGGCGCCCACGGCCCCGGCCAGCCGGTCGTGCCATCTCTGGCCCCCGTGCTGGTTTACAGGACAGGGAGCGTCCTCAGACCACAACTTGTTTCGCGTTTGGGGGACCCCTGGGTCGGTGGCCTCTGAGGACCAGAGCCACACAGCGTCCCACTGGGGCGGGGGAGTCCCGGCGTGTTGAGGGCCCGTGGGTGGGTGCTCTGAGGTGGGTGGGGCGCCTAGGGCCAGGGCCGAGAGCTCGA